GAACCCCATTAATTTTAATATAAATTTTCCATCATCCCAAGTTAAGAAACTCACTAAGAGATTCTAATTTTTTTTCTTCCATTTGTAGATCCCCGTTATGGGTTCTTAAAAAAATCATTTTGGTGTATAACCAAAAAATAAAATTAATTAAAAAATAAGTAAAAGTGGAGTATGTGGCAAAATCACCATTAGATGTGAGATTTTTGATTAGTTTTTCGATTATAATTTTTTTTTTGTTAATTCTGCCAATTTCCCTTCTTAAAAATAAAATAGGTTTTTTTTTTAATTTTTTTAAATATAAATTATTTTGTTAAAATTTATAAATATACTACATTTTATACAAAGTAAAATATATTACATTTCATGAACAACAAAGATTTAAGCTCAAGCTCAAACAAACAAAACCGTGTCTTATGTCCTCTTCTTGTCTTGCTAAGTAAAACGTGTTTTTGTTTGTACGACATTGTCTTATGTCCTCTTCTTGTCTTGCTCAAGTCTAAAGCATGTCGATCGAATAAATCCACCAAACTCCATTAACAGGGACAGTCCTGCACTACAGAAATAGTAAAAATCATGTGAGCCGAACAAGAAACAAGATTCAAACCACCATTTACCACGGACCGTCCTGCACTGCAGAAATAGTAAAAACCATGTGAGCCGAACAAGAAACAAGAAACAAACCACCATTTAACAAGTACCGTCCTGCGGAAATAGTAAAAATCATGTGAGTCGAACAAGAAACAAAACGAGAAATTAAAAAAATGCCACTTTCCAAGTGCCACTTTACAAAAATGCCACACTTTTGAAATCTTTACAAAAATGCCACTTTTTCAAAATTATTTTTTCATTATATAATTTACGTTTGGGTTAACTATGTTATATTAGGGTTTAGTTTTGAGTGTTTATGGGGTTTTCGGTGTCAAAACATTTTTTAGAGTTTAAAATTTTAAAATATAGGCTTTATAAATCTATAATTAGAGACATTTTTGTAAATGGACATATTTAAGTGGCATTCTTGCAAATGTGCACACAAAAAGTGGCATTTTTGTAATTGCCCCAAACAAAACAGAGCATTTGACAAACCACCATTTACCACAATTGCATTTAATACAAATTGATCCATATACAGGTGATTGATTCAAACAATTGAGATTTCCATTGTTTTGATTTTGGTTTTTGAAATGTTTTTGGCGTTTACAACATGAGATATAGGTGAGATTCTTACTGAAGGTCATTGATCGTATTTACCGCAGAGCATTAAACAAACCACCATACCTGATTGAAATCTGCGTAGTAAAAAGGCAAGACTTGTGGAGAAGTTTGGATTTTTTTTTTAGCTTAAAAGATTTTTTTTTTTTTCAGGAGCTTGAATCTCCCAAACTCGGATTTGGATCCGATGAGCGAAGACTTCATCACCATAGAAACTTCGCCTTACACAGTCGCTACTGGGATTCGATCAATTTCAACCGTTTGATTCGAAAAGATTCACAATTTTTTGTTTTTTAATTTAAATTATTGTCTCTTTAAATTTGTATATGATTGAAAAATTGCGGGTTTATTTACCACTTTGGTATTACAACAGAAAAAAAGTAATTAGCGATTACATCTATCTATCTGTAAATCATACGTGGCATTTACTCGTGAAAAAAAAA